TCAAGTAAGGGCGTTTGCTGTTTTGATATCGAAAACGTTTGCAGTCCTGAGTTAACGGCACGTGCGTTCTTCTTGCATCTAATTTTGGGCACGTTTAACGTGCCATTCTTGAAGCGAACATCTTCATGAAGCTTAGATAAAAGTGAGAAAAACCTGTAGATGACAATCTTTTTAAATGCAAACCTTATCAGTGCACAAACATGGGTTTTGTTAACGATATCGCACTAAACTGACTAGCTTCAGCACGGATGCACGTTGTTTTACGTAATAATTCAATGACAAGTCAGCACACAAAAGAGAACTGAGTGCATTTTCTGTGCCTCTGCTGTAACTCTGACGAAGTAAGAAGCAGTAAAACTAACATTTTTGGTCGGCGTTGAGAACATTGGCTTTCGAACATCTAAACACGAATCGTTCTAAAATAAGTTAAGAACACAGCGCTCTGAAATTTTGGAGGACAGAAAATGGGGAAAAGGGAGAATCTATGTCACCGAGATGCCGCGAGTGTCCACACCTAAAATCAACTATATCCTCGATTCACTCCTACATGTAAATATATACATACGTTCCAAAACTGGTGCCCTTTCCTCGAAAATGTCTGGAAACGGTCTTTACTCAATGGATGTCTCAGAAGATTTCAAGAGTTGCAGAGGTTAGACTGATTTATCAGTCAAGTTAACGTAACAACAAAATACCTTTCGTTCCAAGTTTGAAGATAAAGACATCATATCGGTAGCGATAAATATGTAGAGGTAACCTTTTATGCTTTTGGTTCTCACATGGTATATGAACATTGGTGAGCGCAAGTCCTCAAAGGCAAGGAAAGGGGGTAAGCACTCTTCAGGAACTGCTGAAAGGGATCTCCAAATCCTGATCCTATTTCAGACCAAAGTATATCACTTTCCACTCCCATTTTAAGACGAAGCATCATAAATCCATACCCTTTACAGAACTGCTGGCATCAAAGTCGAGGGTGACCGATAAAGAACTTCCATGCGGTACCGACACGTGCGTTTACCTTGTGTCTTATCCTTGGCACGTTGAACGTGCCTTTTTTTTTGTTTTTTTTTGTTTTTTTTGTTTTTTTTTACTTCTCCTTATTATCTGCCCGAGACTTTAGGATTAAAAGGGCACAGATATTTTTATGAGAATTATTTTAAATAAAAACTTCTCACTGCACGTGGGTGGGTTTGGTTCATCGCCATCCCTAGTTGGATATGAGACTTTCTCAAAGGCAATAGAGGAGGGCCTGATCTTCAAATATAGCGCAATGATTCCTTCCAACCATTATAAGGAGAACTCGATAGTGTGCCCGGAGTATGCTAGGTTCGAAAGTGACAAGCTTCCTGCAAACTGCTAGGATCGGCGCTGTCGGAAGCATTGTATATGTGAATAGATAAAGGGCAATGGTCGATCGAAGTTCGATCATTCACTGATGAAAATCGTCATGAGGAAAGTTGTCTTTTTGTCTTGTCTCGAGGATGGGCCAAAGAAGACGTTCTGAGTACCTTTGAGGAATTGAACCTCAGAGATTCGGATTCCGCGCTCATAATGTTTCAAGCCTTCTGTATACTGCTTGGATGGTCAATTTTGGGTTCGGAGTCGAATAAAGAAACAAATAATCTGTTTGGCCTCGATCGTGGCATCGGAAGTTTGCACCTCATTGTCGGTGGCAATGTAGCAAGAAATTTTGCTTCCTTAGCCTTAGTTACGTTTCCAACCGTGAGGTATACTTCCACGTGCGTTCGTCTTGCGTAAACCTTAGGCACGTTTATCGTGCCTTTCTCCTCAATCTAATATCTGGAGGATGCCTCGTAGAGATCAAAGGGGCAAACAGCTGTTGATGACAATTTTTAACATGCGAAACTTATCAGTGCACGTGCACGGGTTTAGTAGATCACTGCGGCACTAACTTAATTTATCACAGATGGGGTGTGCATCGACTCACGCTGGAAATACAAGAACAAGTTAGCACGACGCAAAAGATCAGTACATGTTCCTTTACTAGCGCTGAAAAAGGGTATCATATTTAACACCGCAAGAATTAGTCACACTGATACCTCTGATCGGTGATGAAAACGTCTTTTGTCGAACATGAAAACTGTAACTTTTCCAAACCAAGTTGAGAACATAGTGCTTTGAAGTTTTGTGGGAATTGAGAATGGAATAATAGGAATCCATGTCACTAAAGTACATTTTCAACTAATTTGTTCAAGACATTTAAACATGCATACTTTCCAAGAGGCCTTTTCTAAGCATATGTCCGGAAACGTTTCTTGCACCTCAGATGTTCCAGAATATTCCAAGAGTTGAAGAGGTTAGACTGATTTATCAAGTTAAAGAATTAAGTAACCTGACAACTTAATTCCTTTCGCTCCAAGTCAGACGATAGATATATATATCGGTAACGAAAAAGAATTTGTCACTTTTTCAGCTTTTCTGTTTTACACATGGAACGCTGGTGAAATCGAGTCCCTTTGGGACCGAGAAAGGGGTCACTCTTTGGGAATGCGTGTAAGGGATGTGCCGTTAGGTTCTCCACATCCTGACCTTATTTCATGCCAAAGTATGCTATTTTTGACTTCTGCTGTAAAACAAAGCATGCTAAATCCATACCTGATATCGTATTAGAGTCAAGCCGTATTGATAAAGAACGCACGTGCGATAACGGCAACTGGGTTTGCTTTACTTCTCACTCAAGGCACGTTCAGATGATAAACCATGATCTCTTCAATTCTTCTCCGTTTCTGCCCGAGGCTTCAAGATCAAAGGGTTATCAATTGCAAAGAGGCAACAGCTTTCGACGACAATCCATTTGAATGTAAAACTTATAAAGGCACGCAAATGGATTTGGTTTATTACCATCCCATTGAATTGAATTTGTTCAGAACTTTCTTTCCAATATAGTAGACGGGGCCTGATATTCAGATTTTGCACTCCAGTGCACGCTAAGTTCATATATGGAAAGTTTTCTGCGTGCCACTTGAATCAGCCAAGTCGAAAGCTTTAGTAAGTGAAGTGAGTGAAAAAAGAAGGTCAATTTTAAGTTCGATCGTCCAGTAAATAACATGTTGTCCGTCTAGTCTCAATCATGGGACAGAGGAAAAAAGAGACATGAAATAACCCAGCAGCGGAGTTTTCCATTTTATCGATGCTGCCTGTCTAGTAAGATTGTTTTTCAGTGCCTTCATATCCATGCGGATGTGGCACGTGCTTTCGTCTCGCACAACTCCTGGGCACGTTTGACATGCAATTTTCCTTATGCTGATATCTGCAGCAAGCTTATAAGATCAAAGGGGAAAATAGCTGTTGATGACAATCCCTTTTGAAATGCAAAATTTATCAGTGCACGTGCATGGGTTGGGTTGATCACCGTGGAATCTGCTTAATTTGTTACAATTACTTTCCTACTGAATGAGTAAAGATTAGTACATAATTATGTTCCTGTAATGACACTGACCAGGGGTATTATATCTGATGACTGATTAAGAACTGGCAACAATGTAACTTCTGATCGGTGTTGAGAACGTTTTTGTTTGAACATTAAAGCTGCAACGTTTCAAATCTATCGAAATCTAAATTAAGAACAAAGCGTCGTGAAGGCTTGGAGAATGTAGAATGGAGTAGCGAAAATCCGTATCACTAAGGCACACGTTCACATGGGTAAGATCACCCATACATACCAAGAAGCTCTTTAGAAGAAAATGTCTGGAAACGGCCTTTGCTCTACCGATGTTCCAGAAGATTTCAAGAGTTAGAGAGTTTAGACTGATGTTCCATGTCAGACGATAATAATTCATAGTTTCCTTCTTTACTTAACCTTTACACCTTAGGATCAGTATGCATATTCTCCATACTGTTATCCGTACATCTCCAAAGAGGCTGACAAGGAGAATTTGTTAAACAATCGAGAGCTGCTTTAGTTGGTGATCATCTCCTCTATTCTCATGACTTTCATGTTTGATTCAGGGGTGACATAGTAAGGAGAAATTAGACGCTAGTCACTCTTAAGGGCTGAAGGGTAGACTAATATATTCCATGTTGCTGTGCTTCTGTTCAGTAACAGAACACAGATGAGGTCAAAGAATGGCAAATAAAAAAAAGTGGCACACGCAGCATAGCTGAGTGCGTGACTGATGTTCTAACCACATTTTGACGTCTGCTGTGATCTGTTTCTGAACAGACACTCGATAAAGTGGAACCTTTCGGTTTTGGATGATACGACAGCGAAGCAAAATATTGTTGATAGTGACGTCATCTAAAAGTCCGTCCTTCAACAGTTCATGAGTGGAAACCAACCAAAATGCGTGCGTTACTTGGCCTTTTGATATAATAGCGAATGAAAATAGTCACATGGGGCCGGAGGGGGGGAAAGAGGGGAAAAGCGGGGTGAGGATACTTCTCGGTGTTCTCCATACTCTGACAAATGATACATTTTGGTTTCGTCCCTTTTAACTTAGACTCATTTTGAATTGAAAAGAAAAATCCGTTTTTTTTTGTGGTTCCCCTAGATTGAGACCATAATGGTGAAAATTTATACTCTACGCAAAATCATTCATACCCCTGGGGAAGACGGGGAGCAAAGTGGCGGAGGAAGTAGGTGCACTCTCCTTCATAGCTTACAGCCCGGGCTTGAAGGACCAAAGGATATCGTAACAACAACATTACGCTTTAGTGCGTAATGGGGACCCCAGGAGCAAAGACAAGGCCCCATCCCTCCAAAAAAATCGTCTTTCTTGAAAAAACCAGTTCTTACCACATTCGTTTCACAAAGATGACTTCCATTTAATCATATAACCGGGCTCATGTAGCTTTGTTAATTTTACCAAGGACGTAATGTTCGGAGTTTCGAACTTTTTGACGAGTTTTATAGTTTTGCGATTTAAAGCGGAATTCCAAGAAATGTGTAGGAGCTACTCTTGGCACCCTACTTATCACCAAATTTACTATTTCACCACGTCATTTTACCAAATAAGGTAATGAGAACGCACAAAGTAGTACAGGGCAAAAATACGGAGCAACAAATAGCCACACTGAACTGTCCAAACTTCGAATTTTTGTTTCTTTTGTTTGTTTTTGTTTGTTTGTTTGTTTTTTTGGGGGAGTTAATGATGGAGCATTTTCGGTGTATCAGCGAATAGCTAAAATGTAAAATGTAAAATGCAAGAACCAAGCAATTAGAATTGCAGTCTTATAACTGACTACGTCGGTTAAAAGACGCGTCTACTTATTCAATAATTCTCGTATTATCTCTCTGTGCCTCGTAAACTCCTCTTCTGGTAACGTCGCACCTTTCATGTATTTACAGAAGAGTTCTTCATTGAATAGATCGTAGGTCTCTCTCGCTATAAGGAAAAAAAAATAGCTGCCTTCACAATAGCTACATACCTCCTCTTTCAGGTGAGTTTATAAAATACTTTTGAAGCTTTTGGTAGAAAATTGGATGCTGTTATTGAGTTCAATGCTAGGACCGTTCGTAAATAGAGTGTAGTTCGTTAAAACTTGAAACCAAACAAAATTATTTTTAAAAAAGACTTGCAAAGTAATATTTAGTGGTTTTATACTTAATTTGTTTGGCCTTTCCCTTTTTCCTTCCCAGTTCTTTTTTCTGTGAGTCCTAACAGGAATGTTTCTTAGCTGTGAAACAGGACCTCATACACACCACTTTTTAGTAAGACAGGAATTGCCCTTTCACATGAGTTTTCAATCGAAATTTACCAGCAAGCCTAAACTTTGTGCTCTAGAGGGAGTCTTTCTTGTTCATGTTGATACCTTTTGCAAACGGGCTATGGGTTTCTTCTGAAATTCAACTCAGTCCTCGTTTTCAAGCTTTGCATCGTTTTGTACAGGTGAATGATTCAAGCAGTCTGGTGTGATTTAGAGTTTGCTATTATGTTTCAAAAAGTACAGAAAAAAAAATATCTGAACTTACTCTCTACTGAAACGTATCCAGAAAATTCAAAGGCAGCAGTGGGTCGTTCGTCCGCATCATAAGAACTCTTCACCTGGCTACCTATAATCACACACACCAAACAGGTAAATGCATGGAACAAACACAAAACAAATTCGCATACAGTAAACAGACCTAGAGAAAGAAAGAGATCAAAAACGAGGCAAAACTTGTATTTAGAGATGAGTATTTAGTAGTTGCAAGGAGCAATGGCTCACACTCCATCAAGAATTGTACGGGCTTATCTCGAGGCGTGTGGGACGTGGTAGCCTGGAGGTCAGCACTGGGAGAATTTTTCGGGAGATAACAAAAAACAAAACAAAAGAACAAACAAGCAAAGAGAACAAATCCCAGAAAATTCAGAGGGTGCTTGAGCATTGGTACGCGTTTTTATCGACTACAACACTAAAGTTACCTTTGTCCCACGTATTCAAAACAGCTAATTTTAATGGTTCGTGCTGCGGGGAAACGTTACTAAAAGGGGCCGAACTACAAAGCAGTAGACCCTGACTCTTTAAAGGCCTTCTCTCAACGCATGGGTGTAAATGGGCAGCAGATCTTTTAGCAGACCTAACACAAAAGCGATGGGGTTGAACGCTATGAATTGGATACCTTTGCTAGAAGTGAAGCAGTTCTCCTAGTTCATTATGCTCCAGAAACCACCAAAATTAGCTCAGGCAAGCGTGAATCAGTGGGTCCGATCTTCACTGCACATTCATGCAAATTACTCACCGCTGACTGGGTTTCGAGGCCAAAGGAAGACTCTGATCACAGGATGGCTGTTTCCTCCATTAACAAACTCGCCATTTTGAGTCCTTTGGCTGCATTTACTCCCCCGTAGAATAAGGAAGGTGTGCGCTACTTCGTTTTCCACGAAATATGACGATACTTGATGTATTTTCCTGGACAGACAAAAAGAATGGCATAAAAAAAAAAGACCACCTCATAGGGAAAGACCTTTCAGAGAAAAATCACTCCACTTGGTCCTTCTTCCAATACCCGTTACTTCAACAGTTCTCCGAGAATATTTTCTGCGTTAAAATGGTACGTGACTCGATAGAGGGCACGGCCTCTGAGTTTAAAAGCAGGATGCCTTTCAACCAATAGACGGTAATTCCTCACTAATCGAGAATATCCATTCAAGCTGAAACTATGCACAAGTCTTTTTCTTACCAAGTTTCCCTAACGAGGCATATAACGAATACATTTTCGGAAAGTTGTCGAGATTTATCATGGCTGTTGTTTAAGTCCTTTACTGGTCATTTCCTCTATTCTCAAGACCTAAATGCTTGATCAAATGGTGATATTTTAAGGAGAAATTAAATGCTAGTCACTCTTAGAGATCAAAGAGCTAAAAGACATCCTGCTTTTAAACTCAGAGGCCGTGCCCTCCATCGAGCTATGTACCAAATTGTTCAGTCTGTGCGACTTTCGATATCGTGAACACGTATTTTAGCCAAAACCAAACATAAGTGAGTTCACCTTCGTCGGTATCGTTGAGATTAATATTAAACTCCATGAACCGCTTTCTACGGTGTTACCCGTTGAGTGGCCACCTGTTTGTTTGTTTGTTCGCCTGTTTGCTGGTTTGATTTGTTAGTTGGTAATTTTCCTTACCTTGCTAACAAACTAACATCAGATTGTGGTCCCAGCTCAAAGACAAGCGTATTTGTTGCATAGTCTCTAACTTCAAACACATCTTTACAGACAGGTATCACATCCTAATAATTTGGAAGAGAATAATACTCATATGTAAGTAAATGTCGTCCATTTGAAAACTTTGAGGTCGAGTAAAAACGTTGGAGCGTTACCAAGACAAATAAATATACAAAGTCTGACAGACAAACTTACCACTGTCTCAAGATAGGAAGGGTGTTCACTGTACCAAATATGGAAATGTAGATGATTCACGGATGAATATGCGCACAAGCTGTTGAAACCCACCCGGAGTCCTCTGAAAGAAATAGATATAGAAAGGAATTCACCCCATTTACTTGTGCCGTTGTTCAATTCTATATTTAAGGAGTAGAAATTATGCTTTCATCAAGAGAGGCGATGTCTTAAGAACAACGAGTGTTCAAACGACATGTATGTCAGAGTCACAATATGTTGTCACAAAGTTAACTAAATCGTCTTCTTGTATCCAAAGGAATGAACATTGCAATCCTGGAAATTGAAGTGCAAGAGCCACCAGGCATTCCTCTTTTAGAGAAGCCGCGGACTCATGCCCTGCAAGACTATTTTGCTCCCCTTAAAAAGACGAAACGCCAGATTACAGGTTAATAAAAGCTACGCTTTGGTATCATGCATTAGAATCACTTGCAACTTTACATGACGGGATAAATAAGCCAAGTTAAGCCTTAAACTCCCATGAGTAACCGAGACAGAATTTCTCCAATATCCATACAATAACAACCAGATAAGTGATGAGATTAGAAAAAACATCTATTTGGGAATAAGTTGATCCATTACTAAATTCTCAGAACTAACATTATAAGAATTTTTTGGTTGACAGTACTTCGAGAATTATAATTTTGATCTGGTTGCTAAAGGGTTAACTGTAACTGTGTGATAAGAAACCATCAGAAACCATGAGAATAAAGAAAAATATCGACTTTGGGTTGATTAGTTGATCCAATACTAAATTCTCTGAACTAACATTCTAAGAATTGTATGGTTGACAGTAAGGAGAATTACAAATTTGATCTGGGAGTTAAAGGGTTAACCTTTTTCAAGAGTGTCTCTGTCTGAGACTTAATTGATAAACAAGTTTCTAAAGAAACTGTAATTTAGTATTATCAACTGAGTTGATAACGTCAATTGGCCAACGCAAAGAGTTTCAAAGCTGACGTCTCGAGCGTTAGTCCTTCGTCAGAGCGAGTGAAGAAGGGCTAACGCTTGAAACTCTTTACAGAGGCCAATTTACGTTATCAAATCAGTTGATAATGCTAAATTACCCTTTAAGGCTTAATAGTATAACCTAGGCTGTTTTAACTTTAAATTAACTACAGCATCATACATGTAAATACAAAAGAATATAAACATGGATTAATACCTGTGACTACTCAACATGGCCGTCTCCATACTAAGTAATAGTGCCTCTTCAGTTAATATCTAGAGGTCAATAATAAGGTGCTGTGTTAGTTACATCAAGTGGGGTTGGGCTCTAAAGAAACTGTTGTGCTGCGTCGGTTGGTGTGTTGCAAGATAATTTGGTTTTATTAACTGAGTTGATAATGTAAATTTGCCACAGTAAAGAGAATCTTTAGCTTACACTTAAAGCGTTAGCCCTTTGTTAGGGCGAATCCCTGAATCAAGAGCGATTTTTGTTCTCACGAAGGGCTACCACTCGATTATGTTTTAGTGCAAACATTTCCCATAAAGCCGTCGGGTCTAATCGTTCATGAGTCATGCTTTCTTAAGGCGTCACAATAAGATCTAAAGCGATTATTAATTGTTTTGCATAATTTTGTACTTATTTAATTCGTCTGACCTATATTTTTTCATACCTCCTGTTAGTGATTTTTGTTAAGCTTGTTGTCGTTTTTCTTTGTCAGTTACACCATTTTGCGCGTTTTTCACACCGCACGTAACTTCGCAGTCCTCTTGTATTTAAAGCCACTTTCTTTTACGCAGAATCACTTCTTTAAAGTCAGTTTACCTAACGTCGCGCTTGGCGCATTTCTCTGTCCAAAAGTCTTCTTTAACTTAAAAGTTATTCGCTGTTGCAGTTAGCCGCTACCTGCAATGTGAGTATTTTTCCGTTTCGCTTCGTCTGCGGTTACAGTCACGCTTTTTGCAATTGAGTGTATTATGAATTTGAAATAAATCTCTCCAATAATCTGCCCACAAGGGCAGAGGGAGATGAACAAACAAAAAACAAACCAATTCATTAAAAAATCATTTAAAGCAAATACCTGAGGAAGACAAGAATTTATGCTCGGCACCAAAAGGGAGTGGCCATATTCAATAGGACTATTGTTTATTATCAAAACATGTTGATCACTTGTCACTGCACTCCTATGCTTTGGAATAAGTTCAAACATCACCTTAAATGATAATATACAAAGCATGTGTTGGTTCAAGAATATTTTAAAAAGATATTGGTATCAAATCTCAATTCTCATTGGCTGCAAGTATGCTTCATATTTGAAGCAAATACTGCTCTTCATTGTATTGTATCAGTATCACTGCCAGTACTGTTTATACATGAAGAGGCATGTTATACACAAATCTTTAGACAGCACTGTTCAGCCATGTCTAATAAAGCATATATTGGATTGCATTT